TATACAAATGAATATATTATCCAGTATGGTACATGTCTCCAGCTATATCGGTCGATCTATTCCATACGGTATATTCCTATTCCATAAACAAAAATTAGGAGGTAATCACTAAACAAAAATTAAGAAAATATAAACCCCAATCCATTGCCGATTAACCCCTTCCTTATGATAATCTTTTTCATTTTCTCACCTTAATCTCCTACTTTTGTATAAACCCCATAAATTGTCATTTAAAAGGGTATGGACGCTAATCACTAAACAAAAATTAAGAAAGTATAAACCCTAATACATTGGTGATTAACCCCTAAACAAAAATTAATTTCCATTCCATTCTTTAACTATTCCATAAAAATGAGTATATTATCCAGTATGGTACATGTCTCCTGCTATATCGGTCGATCTATTCCACTGGGTTCAAACCCTGTGGTGAACAATCTACTTGGAAGACCCAAATCGTCCATGTCAGACCTAACATAAAAAAACGAGGGGAAGATAGTTAGTATAAAGTAGATATACAATGATGTAATCAAAGTAAACATGATGGTAAAGTGAAGCAGGCTGGACATATAATATTGCAGAACAATCCATGTGGAATCGAACAACCGTGAATGGATAATACGGAAGTTCAATTCCATCCAGAATGGAACAAACTACAGACGTTCCATTCCATTCAGAATAGTGAACCATCCAAAATGGAATGAAATATGTATCCAATCGAACAAACAGTGTATATATAATACATTCGGTGTTCTCTATCTCGTATACTAACCAAAATGTCAACTGTATGGAATAATACAACCACTAAATATTAAACCATAATCGCAAATAAGTTAACACTAAATCAAAATATAAACCATCAACCCAAATGTTAACCAAACACCTCAGATAAACGCTACATCAAATGGAATGGCACATAGTCAAATAACATAGTACGCAATGGTATGGAATTATCATAAATTTGTGAGCGTCATTACAATCCATTCGGAATGGTATAGACAGGAATACCATTCTATGTACATGAAATGGAATATATATTTATTTCAATACTATACCCTAAACTCCAATAAGTTAACCCTAAACCCGACAGACCCACTAAACATTATACCCTAATCACAAATAAGTTAACCCTAAACGAATATCTAAACCAGAAAAAGGAAATAGAAACCCCATCTTTTCATGTAAACCCCATCTTTTCATGTAAACTCCACATCAAATGGAATGGAATGCG